ACTGATCCACACTAGGTCTGCCCCCCACCCTCTGTGACTGGCTCCTGGACTTTCTGACTGGCAGGCCCCAGACTGTCAGGATTGGCAACAAAACTTCAGCCAGCATTGTTACAAACACTGGCACCCCACAGCGATGCGTCCTCAGTCCCATCCCCTACACCCTGTTCACCCACGCCTGTTGCCTCCCACAAAGACAACATCATCCTAAAGTTCACGGACGACACCGCAGTGATAGGTCGCATCACTAGTGCAGGACAAAGCAGCCTAGAGGAGGGGGGTGGCTGGTCTGGTGTCATGGTGCAAGGACAATAATCTCAGCCTCAACATGGACAAGACAGAGCCCTTTAGGAGCAATGATGGGCCGAGGACCGCCAGTTGGCCAACCTATGTGTCAGAGAATTACTGAAATGTTTAAAAGCAATGTTCCTCAAAGAAAGTTAGGAAGGATTTGGATCTGTCACCCTCTACGGTAATAATGTGCTGCTGTGTTGTTTTCAATGTCATATAGTACACAGATGATTTACACATCAATAGTTTCAGTTATAATTTTGATTTTGCATACCGTTCCAACGTTTTCTGATTTGGGGTTGTATGATACCAACTCTTATTGTGTGTGCTGGTGATTAGACAATCTTAAAGAAGAACGATTGAGTCAGCAAACCTTTAAAACCAGAGTAGCAAAAAATCAACAGTGAAGGTTTGTATTTCTTGTTTAAATTCTGGTGTGAGAGTGTTTCCTGTCCCTGTGGGCTACATCGAACAGCAGGACAACTCTAGACTGAACCATCACAGAGCGGTAAAGTTCCCAGTGTGTGACTCCCTCTAGTGGACGTTGTGGAGCATTGTGTTGTGTTTGCTCCAGAGGTTTTTGTACAGAGTCCTGGTGTTTCCTGTCACTGTGGGCTGCAGAGCACAGTAGTACACAGCAGAGTCATTCAGCTGAAGCTAGACGATCTGCAGATCCACACGTTTCTCCTTTGAGTTAATGTGAGCTGAGAAATCAGACTGAGCTGGAGGAATCGATTCTCCCTCTGTGATGTAGAGCAGGAACTCTGGTCTGGATTTCTGGTACTGTCGGTACCACTGGATGTTGTAGATAGCACCCTCATATTTACAGGTCAGGGTGATGTTTCCTCCCTCTGCAACAGCTTCTTCAGTACTTTGTGGTTTTATGCTGTTCATGGAAGCCATGGCTGCAAAATGAATGTTATTCATGTCAGTTATTCTGCAACACATTCGACAGCAAGAGACTGAGCCCAGGTTCTTGACTTGGTCTTTCATATGTGATACATTTGAGATGCTTTACAAACCCAACGCTGATTAAATCAGACTAGACGTGATGTTACAGCAGCAGGTTAATCTGACATTTGTTTGTCCTCACTCACCTATAAAGAGCGATAAAATGACAAAGAGGCAGAGCGCCATGTCTGTGGAGCTGCTGAAGCCAAACGCAGCAGGTGAACGATGTTCTTCCACTGCAGCAGGATGAACAAACTAACCAGCCTCTCTGCTGCACAGCCCTTCTCCTCAGCATCAGGCTGACTGTGCTCCAAGCTCCTCCAACATTTCTGCTCTGGACACAGAAAGAATCTCATTGG